TTGTTAAAAAAAAAAAAGTAACCATTAACTTAAACCTTTCTTTATATATGCTTTTTTCACATCAACTTTATATATGCTTTTTTCACATCAACTTTATATACGCTTTTTTCGGATCAACTTTATATATGCTTTTTTCACATAACTTTATATATGCTTTTTTCACATCAACTTTATATATGCTTTTTTCACATCAACTTTATATATGCTTTTTTCACATCAACTTTATACGCGCTTTTTTCACATCAACTTTATATATGCTTTTTTCACATCAACTTTATATATGCTTTTTTCACATCAACTTAGAAATAGCTTTGCAGTATATATAGAAATAGCTTTGCAGTCTCAATTTTGACTTAAATTCTTATAACATTTGTAAGTATTTTATTTCAGACCTTAGGTCTTCTAATTGAGATTGAAAGTTCAGTTGCCGCAAAACAACCTATGGAGTGTATATAGGTGTTATTTAAACATCTAGTTAAGTATTTGTTCTGATTTATTTTAAATAACGGGTTAAATATTTTAGGAATTCTATTTTTATTAGTTTTGGAAATTAAATTAGAAGATGATAATATTTATTTAGTAAATATTTAGTATATTTAACTTAAAAAAATAGTGAAAATAGAAAATAGTGGTGGAAATTTTTTAATGTGTAAAACGGCTGACATTGTATGTAAATCTAAATACGTGTTTTTCCATATAAAAGAGTTTTTTTAATTTATTTTATTGGTACTGCATCAAACAACATTAGAAAAATTAAGATGAAAATAAATAAATAAAAAATTTAAATATTTTGTTATCAAAAATCATAACATGTTGCATATCCTTGAACTTCAGATATACTATATTATTTGTTTTCAAAAAATGCGAGTGATTAGGAATTGATTTGGAAAATCTAAACAGCTAACTAATGCTAAACAAAATAGCAATCCTAAAGGCTATTCAAACTTTCATAAAAAATACTTTGTATAAAATTTAAAAATTAAATTAAGTTAAAAAAAAAAACACTAAGCCTATAGATACACTTGATAACCAATAAAGAAATGTTCAGTATTCTTTCTCATACAGCTCTCTAAAATATCTTCTCTATACAAAGCAGTTTTTCTCGTTGCAATGGTAACTTTTTTTGCCATGCTCATAATGTCATAATTATGTCATAATTATGTCATAATTATGTCATAATTATGTCATAATTGCCAAAGATTATGAGTAATGAAAAGAGTAAAAAAGTTAGAAAAAAAATCAAGAAAAAGCTTTTCGTTATGCCGCTTCGTGACATTACAAAAAGCATTTCCAAAAGCTTTCCCAAGTTAAAAAAATGTCGGAATGAAGAGATTATACCAAAAAGTTTGCAAGGGTAACAATTAGCCAAATCCGTGCAAAGGTTACCTTTTTTTCTAAACGGTAAAAAATTGATTTGAATCTTTTTGAAAACACGTTTAACAATGCCACACCTCTGCGTCAGAAACGTCATAAGACTAATTAGAAATATCGTCATTAAAAAAAATAAGAGGAACTGATTTGATATTTGATATCGATTTAAAGACCTTTTTCTATTCTAGTATCAGGAAACAACAATATAAATTATTTGTAATTTCTGTTCTAAAGTTTGCGCTTTATCAAAAAATTAGGATTCCCCCCCCCCCTCCTTCTAGGCGGCCCTGCTCATATTACACGAAAATGATATCTTCAAATGAAGTTAAAAATAAACTTTTCTTTGCATTGTTTTCGTAACGAAAATGGAATAGATTTCTGGCTAACATATTTTTATTTATAAAAAATAAACATCTACATTTCAACACCAAAATATCACGCCACAAAAATTTTAATGTTGAAATGTAGATAACTTTGTTTTTGTTAAAATATTATTATTATACTTTCATGGGTAATAGTTTAACAAAACAAAAAATTGAATAGCGTTTTAATTAAACCAGAACAGCTAATAATAACGTGCAAATCACAAGTTAAAGAAAGCGTTACCAAACAGTCACTTCAGTTATCAAGATAAGCTGCATTCCAGCAACAATGTGGTTGATCTATTAAGGTTATTTTACTGGTTAACCGAGTGAATAGCGCCTGTTTGTTGACAGTTCATCCCGGAAACTTAAAACCCTGCCGTTTCGCATAGGAAATAACTACTTGCCTCTCCCTTGACACGCTTTGTACTACTTATAAATTTACGCTAACTATACTCCTTTCTGTTATCACCACAAAAAACTCCATTCAAAAAACACAAAGCAACTTACTTTACTGCTCACATCTTAGAAATATTTTCTAAAAATTATCTAGATGCTTATATTACCGATTGTACCCTACTTTTTTCCTGACGATTAGGAAACCCATAAATTTTATTTAGTAAACTTATTGAATAAGATATACCCACATGGAAATGTTATTTACAACTGGTTAAACTAGTTTTTAGAAAGTATAAAAATTACTAGTGATTCCACATTTCTTAACTTGTTTAAGAGAACTCATAATCACTTTAATCTAGGTTTTTCTTAATAAATCATTTTTTCTTTATCTGTTACAGCACATAAAGATTTTTCAATTTAACCAGTGACACAATGTAAAACAATTTTTCAATTTAACCAGTGACACAATGTAAAACAATTTTTCAATTTAACCAGTGACACAATGTAAAACAATTTTTTTTAAGCTATTACATATAGCGCAAAACTTGATTTTACGAATCCAGAAAACTATTGTATAAAGCATGTTGTAGAGAGAGACAAGTAGTTATTTCCTTTGTGAAACGGCAGGGTTTTGAGTTTCCGGGATAAACTGTAGACAAATAGGCGCTATTCACACGGTTAACCGGTAAAATTGCCTTAAATAGATCAAACTCATTGTTGCTTATCTTGATAACTGAAGAGACTGGAAAACATTTAGTGACGCTTTCTTTTACTTGTGACTAGCAATTAAATTAAATCATATATTTTTTTGCCCTTAACAATTTTATATTTTTAGGTTTTATTGTTATATTTTTAATTTTAAAATTCTTTACTTTTAATTTAGTTTTAAGCAAAATTTATGTGAATATACGATTTTATGTGGTTTAAGTTTACTTTTTTTTGTAAAATTTCCATTTCATTTAAATAAAATTTGCAAAAGTTGTTACAATAAATTTATAAAAATAGTATAATCATAATATATTATATTTATAGAATATAATAGTTATTGTATTAACAAAATATATTGCTAATATATAATTAAAATATAATGTTATTGTATAAAAAATCTTTTTAATTTCAATATGATTTTTATTTTTAAGCAACAATCAAAGGAAGCTCTGTGTCATTAGTAATGTTAGCAGAAAAGTATGTATGTATGTATGTATGTATGTATGTATGTATGTATGTATGTATGTATGTATGTATGTATGTATGTATGTATGTATGTATGTATGTATGTATGTATGTATGTATGTATGTATGTATGTATGTATGTATGTATGTATGTATGTATGTATGTATGTATGTATGTATGTATGTATGTATGCAACTTATCTTGATAACTGAAGAAGAGACTGGCAAAAGTTTGGTGACGCTTTTTTTGAGACTTGAGACTTGCACGTATTTAAAAAATTCTAAAATATAATTTTAAAATATTTTATACAACTATCTCCTTTTAATTGTCTGTTATTTTTATAGGCTTGTATTATGTATATATCTGAACTGAAGGTTTGAGAAGGCCGTCTGGTATTGATAATATTTTTGTATTACGAGACTGAGCCTTGGCGCAGTTTTTAGAGTTTTGGTTTAGAACCAATATAAGCGAAATTGAATAGGAAAGAGGTGTGAACATCTTTCCTATTCAATTTTGCTTATATTGGTTAGTGATCGATAGGATTTCTTGGAGCATCTTAATAACCACACAAAAAAAAATTATAAAAATAAAAAAAAAAATTTAAAGAAAAAAACATTTTTAAGGCAACGAGTTCACTTTTAACATTAACAAAAAGAAATAAACTTTCTTCCTAAAAATCTCCAAAATTTTTGTTTGTAATATTATAATATTGAAATAAAAAGAAATTACGACACAAATATTTTAGAGGATCTTGAAACATTAAATAAAAACCACGCGTTGACCAAAACTACGCGTTGACCAAAACTACGCGTTGACCAAAACTACGCGTTGACCAAAACTACGTGTTGACTATAAATTTATAAAGTATTGGAACTTTATACAAATCCAAAACATATCAAATAAATCGAGTAATTTTTTGTTGAAATATAAGTTCTAAATATATTTGAGTAAAATTTTTTTAAGGTGTTATACTTATTATAATTTTGGAAAAATAACTTTATCCGTCATGAATCCGTCATCCGTTAAATAACTTTATCCGTCATGAATCCGTCGTCCGTTAAATAACTTATCTTTATCCGTCATCTAAGATTTTTTGTGCATAAATCTTTTTTTTAATTAATTAATACTTTGAAATAGAATTGTTTTACACGTTTTTAATAAATTTATTGTTTTCCTATTTTCAAATATAAACTGAAAAACTCCACTCGCTCTAAGGGTAGTATAATCATGTATTTTTAATAGCTATTAACAATTAACTTTTGCTTAAAACTTTATTATTAATTACAAAATACCTATCGCTTTATGATATTATTTTTAATATTATTTTATTACATAAATGTTTATGCTTATATTTTTTATAAAACTTATAGACAAATCCTTTCATCGTAATATTTCATAAAGTATTCCTCAATTTTTATGTTTTATCAAAGAATATTCAAACAACTTTTGTATTTTTTAAAAATTAATGGTAACAAATTCTTTTATACACATGGTATATTCAGAAGTATAAAAGAATACACAGATTCTGTACCTGGTTTTCTGGTTTCTGGTCAGATATAAAAAGTTTATACACGAGTACACATCTAGTTAACACCGTAAGTATTCTGCAAGCCATTAATATGATTATTTTTAGGTAATTTATTGTATTGAAAACATTATATAGTACTGTATCAATACTTACAAACAAAAAAATCTAAGTTTCTAATATTTTATTTGTTGCTTGTCACATTACATATCATTTAAATAATCTACTGCTATTTCAATGCAATAGCCAGGGTCAAAGTCCTTGTACGGAAAATCTTCGTTCAATTTAAACTGATGTGGGTATACAATATTTTCAACAGATGATTTAAAAATAGTTCTTGCCACTCCTTTTGTTGCAGGCGACATATTAAATGAATGAAGCGCTGTAAAGCCATTCTTTTTTACTAACTCGAACTGGTTAAGACAAAGGACATTAAAAACATTCATGCTTAATTCACTTGAAACTTCACTGTCAACATACATAGTTAATGCGTCAGCAATATTATGCCCGTTATTGTGCAACTTTTCTAATAAATTATTCTCGCAAAAATGAATTAGTTCTTGTTGTTCAATTGGTAGATAGCCCATACATTGGAGATCCTCTGCAACAATTGGACAAGTTACAAAAGCTCCAACAATCTTATCTTGTATCTTGACTGCCATGCATAAATTTGGATAACGTTCCCAGCATTCTTTGACAATTACAGTAAAAAACATTCTAAAATTAAAACCTTTTGACGCATGAAACATGAACATTGATTCTTTGGTGATAAAAGCATCCATCATTCTTTGAGCAATGAAATCAACTTCTGATTCTTTTAAGTTACTAAATAACACACTTTGGATATGATTGTTGTCGATCAAAGCAGTATTTCTGTAAATACGATTGCAATTGTGTTCTTTGCATAAATCAATAAAATTTGTAGTTAAATCGTTGTATGTTATATCTACTCCTAAATTTTTCACTTCTTCAAGAAAATAGAATACAGTGATAGAGTCTCCTCCATGCTGATAAAAGTTTTTGTTTGGATCAAACTCGTTGTCACACAAATCAAGGGTTTTACAAGCCCCATATTTTAGTTTGTCAATTTTATGATTACTCTCTAACAAATAGTTAAGATAGTTGTACTCTTCATAATCTTCTATAAAATACTTGGAAAGTTCTTTTCGACTAATTTTTCCGGTAGCGGTAGTTGGAAAGTTTTCTACTTTAATAAACTTTGAAATCAATTGGAAAGAGAAGACCTCAATTGTTGCATTTCTTAAAACAGTTGGTGGTATATTTTCAGAAGTTTTGTAAAAACCGCATAACATCCATTGTCCTCGTTTGATATTAAGTTTTCTAATTACATACAATTCAATATTTGGAAATATTTCTTTGACAATTTTTTCGATTTCATAAGTATTAACCTTTTTCCCTCTTATTTTTGTCATGTTGTCTTTTCTTCCAATAAATTCAATGCCATCTTTTGTCATTTTAACGTAGTCTCCGGTTTTAAATATTTTTGAAAACATTGCATCATTATCAAAAGAATTTTTTATAAAAAAATGGTTATTGCATTCTTCATTAAGATAACCCGTTGCAATAGTTGCTCCAGACAGCCACAACTCTCCTTCACAACCGTTTTCTACTTGTATCCCTTCGTCGTTAACAATATATGCTCTTACACATTCAATAGGGTTTCCAATTATTAAACTATTTTCGTATTTCGATAGACAATTAACCGTGGCAATAGCAATACCAGTGGATTCGGTAAGTCCATATTCATTGTATACTGATGCATTTGGGAAATGTTTTGAAAAAGTCGATAGTATTGTGGAAGGTATACATTCTCCACCAATGTTGATCATTTTTAAACTACTGTTAATGTCGGTCCATCTTAATATTTCAAAAAAAAGTGTCGGTGAACCAATAAACAAGCTAACACTGTGTTCCTTAAGAAGACGAGAAAACAATGGAAAATTTTTAACATTTTCTTCTGATATTGCAACACAGGGTATGCAATTTAGCAGTGCAATAAACATTTCCATCCAATATGTAATCCACGTGCAATGCGAGTGCAAACACAAGACATCCTTTGTACAACAGAGTTTGTATGTCTTTGTATACCAGGCAACCATTGCCAAAAAGTTTCTATGTGACAAGACCACACCTTTTGGGACCCCACTATTTCCTGATGTATATAATATACAAACCGGATCTTCCTCACTGATATTATCACTTAGCAAGCAGTTTATTGAATTCGGTATCGGGTCGTAAAACGAATTAATGCTTAAAACGTTTATATTAATATCATACTGGTCCCATAGATCTTTTGTTTTTTGACTTTCTCCAAGAATAACATGTGTTAGATAAGTTTCCTTGATAATTTGTTCAATTATTTGCTTTTTGTATACTGGATCTAATGGTACGAATACAACTCCACATTTAACTAATGCTAACACTTTATAAATGCGTTCAATACCATTTTCCATGAATAAACCAACTCGGTCTCCTTTATGTAAACCGATTCCAGACAGACTTGCAGCAAGATTTTCAGTTTTTTTACGTAGCTCTTCATATGTGCAGGTCGTACTACTATTTTCTGTTAATTCGGTTATCCCATTCGTGTATTGATAGATATATAAAGAGTTCTGAAACATTTGATAGATGTTCGTAACATTTTTTGTTTGTTCTTGATACATTTTTTTTAATATTGTTCGATTGTTGTGTATATTTTGAATATATCTCAGACCTTGGTTTTATCGCTGCAGAGTGTAAAAAACCATAAAGTGATATTTTTACTTCATTAAAGTCAATAAAGTGTTAATCCTTCTCTACAAAAGAATAATGTGTAATGTCATTTCATTAAGCATTTTAAACTGTGCATTAAAAATGACCTCAAACAAATAAACAAAAAAAACTGTTGCAACATTATAAGTTATTTTCCTGCCGCAACAAAAATTATTTAGTTAATTCAACTTTTTATGTTTATTCTTAAGTTAAAAAAAAATATTTTGATTTAACCTTTTAATCGTTTTTCAAAGCTCTCGGTTTTCTTAATAATACATTCAATGTATTTTAGGAGGTGACAACACTTTACAACGTTTTTATAGTTTGACAAGGTTTAGCATCATAATACAATGCTGGCGCATAGATATATAAGGAAAAAGAATGTTCAAATCACTTAAAATTGGGGTTGAAAAACCGGTTTTCAAACAAGTTTTTATATAAAAGGTTTTTATAGAGATTTATCTGTTTTATATTGTTTTATATTAAGATGCTCTTTGGCTTTGAATATTCAAAGCGGCGATGATTTTAAAACAAAGGCTTTTTTTTGTGTAGGAATTAGTTCGGTCAGATTAATTAATTTGCAAGTTGAGAATTAGATGGCGCAAATTTATGCAAATTTAAAGGTTTAATACTGAAATAATTCGAATAAATTCTAGTTATGTTTTAATATAATAAAATGGAAGTTAATTAAAATAAAAGCGCCACTAAAATTAAAATTTAATGGCATAGATTTATATTTCTCTAAAATTGTATCAATTTTCTTATTTTCAAATTTACTATTTAATAGTAAATTTGACTCAGCAGCAACACTTTTGTAATATTGTTGTGTATCTATTGACTCTATATAATTCATTCAAGTTGATGGAATTAAATTTATTTTATTTAAATTTTTAGATTACAGTCCAACCCATTGCATAATTCTAGAAAAGCAATAAACCTATTGGCGGCTGCAAAATAAATCTTGGCTAATCAGGGCAATCAAACATGATTTATTTGATAGCTGCGGTTTTATTTAAAATTTTATTTTTATCGATTATAAATAATTATTGCTTATTTAAAACAACTTTTTATTATAATTATACACTATATATATATATATATATATATATATGCAATAATTTTGATTAATGAAGAAACAACCTTGTTTCTGTCAAAAACTGATGAACTCAAGGGGCGAATTAAATGATCGCGAATTGAAACTAAAAATTTAAAGACCAGAATTTTTTTACGGAAATTTCAATTCGCGATCATTTAATTCGCCGCTTGGAACTATAACTTTATTATATAAAAAGGAAATGATCCTTTAGCGTCCGAAGAGAAATGATCCTTTTGCGTCCGAAGTGAAATGATCTCTTTGCGTCCGAAGGAAAGTCTTTAGCGTACTTATGTAAAGAGCTTAATTTCGAGGATGTTGCATTGTTTTAAAATTTCTATAAAACACACACAGAGAGAAAAATTTCTAACCCTGTCTACCCTGACTATTACTTTTATTTACTTCTGCTCATCCTTAAAACTGACTTTCTCTTAGTCTATCAAAGCGGATTATGATGCTCTTTAGTGATCTGAACTTGTCTTCGCGGGCCTTGGTATGCGGCCTTTATATTGCAATTAGCCGTAGTAGGATAAACCACAATACTAAACACAGAGAATTAAAATTAGTTAAAAATTTCTGAAACAAATAAAAAACTTAATATGGATGTTACGCTAACTGACAATGAAGCAAAAGTTAAAACTCTAAAAAATCTTTTTTTTTCCAACAGTGTGGCCACACTCAAAAATTACACTCAAAACAATGGTGGGAACAACAAGAAGAACAACATCAACATGTTTCTATTCCGTAGACCAAAAGGTTGAATCTCATTTAAGAAACCGTGAGCGACATTAAATGCAGAGTTAGTCACTGATTAGAGATAAAACTTTAAAGTTTTATTAAATTAAAAAATATTGCATCTCTAAAATGAGATAAAAAAAAAAAAACGAGAAAAATGCACCATTTATGTCAACTGAAAGAGTAAAACATACAGTTATTATTTTTTGTCTTTTTTTGTACAAACCACACCATATATTGGCGCTTCTCCGGTTTTTAAATATCTTTGTTGTCTAAAGATTTGTATGGATACAAATCATCAGTATTTGTAACAAAGAAATAAAAATTTCATGCAAAAAAAAAACAGATTTTTTTGTGATGGTTAATAACAAAATTGTGTTGAAAAAAAATCACAAATATTACACCCAAATAATGGTTGTAATTCCACATATTTTTTTGTCCATACAAAGTAAGATTTCATAGTAAAAAAAATTACGTTTAATGAGGATTATTAACAGTTCGAATTTTAATTCTGTTTTTTAAACTTATATGCAACGTTACCTGATTTAATTTATAAGAAAAGAAAATTACTGTATTGATTGTGACATTTGCTGGTTCCATGAAGATTCCTGTAGAATAATCAAAAAGCAATGTTAAAAAGGTTTATTTGCATTCTATGCCAATAACTGATAAACACTCAAGAATTTATTTACTAACATTTAGTTATGCAAATATTAAATGCAATAAATGAAAATTATGTTCAAAAAAAAAACTTATTTTATAAAAGAGCAGTCACAAAGTATTATCATAAAGAACAACACAAATAAGGCAGCGTTAAACTTATTTTGAACAGTGTGGTTAAAAATTTTTTTTTTCCGTAAGCAAAATACGTAGTTTATATATACATATACATACGTTCTTACGTTATTCATTCTTCACACGTTCTATAGTTTGTTTTATAAATTCTAAGTTTTGGAATTTTTGAGGTTTCCCGTGTCTGGGTTTCATCTGTAAATTTTTTATGTTTTAATTAGGAAATAGCTAAGTTATACCGGTAAAATGCTAAATCTTTTTTTTTGAAATCTGTATCTGCAATAACTTAATCACTAGGTTGTAAGCATTTCAAAAATCCACAACCTTTAACAATAAACTATAAACAATAACAATAACACAAGCTCTGCCACCATAATATTTATAAGGAAAATTGTTATTATTTTACAGAACAATCATACTCTTAATTTGACCAACAAAATGCAGCTATATGAAAACTAGATTAAATTTCAATAAAGAACAATAAAGCATTTTGGATAATATTTTCTAAACATGAATGGTAAATTTCTTTTTATTTTATTTAAGTCATTTCAACTCAAGAAATAAGTTTTATTCAATTTGTAAATGCTGAACTGACAATAAAAATAGACACTATAAAACGATGAGCAAGATCATCAGTTAAAAGGGCGTAAAAGGTCGTAAACGCAACACCATAAAATTTCTTTGCTGCAATGTTAAGAACTTTATTGTTTTTAAATCTCTTGGTGAAAATAAGTTTTTATTTGCTTTTTCCCTACCTTTCTAAAAGTGTAATAAATTTCAAAGGTATTTGAAATGTAATACACTTAAGAACAGCATTTCAATCGTATTTAGGGCCGTTCCGAAGAGGTCTTCCATGGCGGAGGAAGGAGGGGGAGGATTTATTTTTTTGCCAACTAGAAACACCAAAATAAAAAAAAAGGTCCTCAATATTTGTAATTTGCCAACTATAGTTCAAAACTTCCTCAACTCAAGTGTGCCAACTCAAGTGCTTATACGACAGTTTTAGGGGTGGGACACCCCTACACCCCTTCTTCGGGACGTCCCTGATGGTATTGAGTTTTCTGTAAAAAAAAATGAACATTAGAAACTCTATTTAAATAAGCAAAAATCATATATAATAGTAATATGTTTATTACACTGAACAGATTTATCAGATCTGTTACTTTCTAAGTCAAGAAACTGGTTGAATCTTAATCAAAATACCATCAGTTTTTTCATTTTCTTTTTTTAGTAAGAGATCTTTTTTCTGCATTACGAATATTCATGTACAAAGCTGGAATAGGTGAGGCAAAAAGGTAAACTCAAAATGATTAAAGTAAAATTATAGCAGCCGTGGTCTAGTGGTTAAACTTATAACAGCCGTAGTCTAACTCGTGGTCTAGTGGTTAAACTCTGGCTTTAAAATTTGAGTTTCGTGGTTCGAAGCCGGCTCTGGCCATATATTGGTAAGGAAGGAGCCGTGAACTTTCTGGTTAAATACTATTTCGCGGTGCTTTTTGATAAGACCGTTAAGACTTCTCGGAGTATCTAAAATGAGTTGTTAAAAATATAAATTTAAACTAATTTTAATCAAAGTTTTCACTAAATTAATATTCGAGTTAAAGATGACTCCAATGCTAATTTACTTCTCGGTAAAATTTGTATATTATATTTTTTCTGTCGTTGTATATTTGTTCTGTAGTTGTAAAACTTTTATTTCCGTTACCAATAGCACTAAATAAAGTAAACCCCTTGGTTTATGTGCAGGTACGGTGTTGACCGATTTAGGCTGATTTAGGAAAGTCGCAGTGAAGTCTATCTATATCAAATCTTTATTGGTTTTGTTTTTATTAATTAGGCTTCAGAATTTTTTTAAGCAGCATGAATGATGTCAAACATAAAAATAATGGTTTGATACATTTTTACTTTACTACGATTGCTAAACGAATCATTACGATTGCTAAACGAATCATTATGATTGCTAAACGAATCATTATGATTAGACTTGAGAGTGGTGGATATTTAATATTTAAAAAAAAATTTTTTTTTGTGCATTTCTATAAATTTAACTCAGCATGTTGTTGAAAACGAAGAAAATTTTTTTAATAAGATTTTTAAAAATAATATGAAATGTTTATTAAATTGGAAAATGCAAGTTTTTGCCCCTCAGAATTGCGCCTCCCCATCCGTCTCTTTCCAGATGGTCTGGATCCGCCCAAGAAAACTTCCTCAGAGTCAGAAGTTTCTCTTGGCGGTCCTGTTTATAATCATCCTGGTCAGATTTGTAAAGAAACTTAAACTATGTTTTAAAAATTTGCTATTGAGCTTAAAAGAATTTAAAATTTAAAGTTTTTTAGTTATATAAAAAAGCAATACAGAATTTTATAAAAATTGTGTTTCAATTTTTGAAACACAAAAATTGCGTTTCAAATAATTTCAAAAATACATTTGAAACTTATGTTTTATAATGTATAAAAAGTTAATTCCATGTAAAAATATTTACATTCACTTTAAAGTTTTGAAAATAAGTAAATAAGAAATATATTGATCTAACAGATCTAAAAATAATTTGAATGGAATGGATGGGTGTGATTAATTAGAATGTGTGAATACGTGAAAATAACATCGATTTATTTTTTATATGAAATATGTAACGAATACATGAATGTTTTTAAAACCTCTTTTAGAATGCTGAAAAATTTTTTTATAGAGTTTATCTCTGTTACCAAACGGTTGAAATGAATGGTAAAAGCCAAGGCCGTCAATAGATTTGATAATACCAAATTGAAGTGGTGTAAAAAACTAATACTGTAATAAGATTAGTTGGCACCAAATGCTAAAAACAAATGGTGGGAAAAATCAATAACGCGATTGGATTTACTAATCCTCGTAAGTTAGTTTAAACTATTGACAGGAAAAAAGATGCGATTAACCTGATAACAAAATAAAAGCACAATGTCAAATATTTTATCATAAATTTATTAATTCTATTAATAACGCAGTGAAATTAATCTAAATTAAAAACTGTGCACAGACGTCTAAACAATGTCTTTTAGATGACTAGAAATGTCTTTTACACATCTCTTAGATGTCGTGTGTTTACTGAGTGAGTTCTGAAATGTATAACCATTATGTCAGAAGTATCTTTGTAATGTCATCTCTATAACAATTTCATTAAAATTACAATTATTGCAAATGTCTAATCTTTTTATATTATTTTCTTCTACGATTATTATACAAACACTGTTATAATTAATTGTATCTGGGCATAATTACATAAATACATATATAAATTTGTAAATAAAACCGTTAATAGTAAAAAAATCTTGGAATGAAGGCAAGATGATGCAAATCAATGTCATTAACATTAGAGATTTCCATATTTTCCGCTTTTTCCATCACACCCTCTTTCCCTCATCACACCCTCTTTCCCTCATGAAGAACACATTTATTGATTATTCTTTTTAAATGATGAACTCTGTTTTATACAATATAAAAAATTTTATTTGCATCAAAAACAAAAACAAAAAAACTTACCGTGGGTCTAAACGTTTTTAACATTTTGTGAAAAATGGGATTAAGCAAAATTTGTAATGCCTAATAGATTTATACACTGTTAAATTAAGCATTACAAATGCTTTAAGTGCGCAAGCGTAATGTAAGTATGCACTGCAAGTGGTATTTGCAGGTACTAACAGGTAATGGTGAGCGATCGCAGTGGCTAATATTTGTTTTTTCAAGTTAAGCTTGTTAAATTAATTAAAGATAAAACATTGACTCAGGACCGCTTTCACATGGTATTTATGCTTCAAAAATAAACTATTTTGCTAGCTTAATTTAGATGGTTTAATTAATAAATAACGTTTCAGCAAATTGAAAAGATCAACTAGTTTGAAAAATGTTTACAATCTTTTTATACCCTAAACATTTAGGCCTCTAATACCAGCAAAATATTAAAAAAAATTATTTTAAGAGTTAATTATATATATATATATATCAGTAGATACATATAATGCGTATAAGCGA